AGACGCCCCATCTGCCCAAGCCTGCGGGGCGCTGGAGCGCATGCACACCAGACTCCTGCGCCGAAGCGGTCGGCTCCCTGGCCGACCAAACGACGTGGTGTACACCTCCACCCCCCTCTCGGGCTGGGCGAAAGGGGGGGATAGCAAAGGGGGGGTTTGAGAATCGGCTCACGTGGCTGATTCTCCAGGCGCCTCCCGGCGCCCGGGAGGCGGCCATGCATCGAGGAGTGGGCCCCTCGGTGGGGCCGAGACCAGCTGCGTGCAGCAGACTTCGTGACCTCCCCTTGCCCTAACCCCCCCTCTCGTCTGGCCCGACCCTCCCCACGTTCGCCCTCCTTTCCCGGAGGAGCAGGAGGAGGAGGAGGAGGAGGAGGAGGAGGAGGAGGAGGAGGAGGAGGAGGACGAGGAGGAGGAGGAGGAGGAGGAGGAGGAGGAGAGAGGAGAGGCGGAGGAGGAGGAGGGCGGAGGAGGAGGAGGAGGAGGAGGAGGAGGAGGAGGAGGAGGAGGAGGGAGGGGAGGAGAAGAAGAGAGGAGGGCGGAGGAGGAGGACGGGAGGATGAGGATGAGGAGGAGGAGGAGGAGGAGGAGGAGGAGGAGGAGGAGGAGGAGGAGGAGGAGAAGGAGGAGGAGGAGGAGGAGGAGGAGGAGGAGGAGAGGAGGAGGGAGGGGAGGAGAAGGAGGAGGAGGAGGAGGAGGGAGGAGGAGGAGAGGAGGAGGAGGAGGAGGAGGAGGAGGAGGAGGGGGAGGAGGGCGGAGGAGGAGGAGGGGGTGAAGGAGGAGCCTTTTCTCCCCCTTTCCCTATCCCCCCGCGGGGAGGAGCCTTTCCCTCCCCCGCGGGGCCCCCCGCGGGGCGGGCGCCGGCGGCGGGCGGCCCGCCCCCACGACGGAGAGGCGCCCAGCACACGAGGGAGAAGCGCCCCCCCGGCGGCCCTCCCCGCAGGCAGACGGCCCCCCTCGTCGTCGTCGTCGTCGGCGTCGTCGTCGTCGTCGTCGTCGTCAACGTCGTCGTCGACGTCGTCGTCGTCGTCGGCGTCGTCGTCGTCTTCGTAGTCGACGTCGTCGTCGTCGGCCGCCTCGTCGGCCCCCTCGTCGTTGTCGGCGTCGTCGTCGTCGGCGGCCCCCTCGTCGGGCCCCCCTCGTCGTCGTCGTCGTAGTCGTCGTCGTCGTCCGTCGCTCGGTCGTTGTCGGCGTCGTTGTCGTCCGTCGTCGTCGTCGTCGTCAAACGTCGTCGACTCGGTCGTCGTCGGCGGCCCCTCGACGTCGTCGTCGTCGTCGTCGTCGTCGTCGAAGTCGTCGTTCGTCGCGTCGTCTTCGTCATCGTTCGTGTCGGCCCCCTCGTCGGCCCCTTCGTGTACGGTCGCGTCGTCGACCGGCCCGGCCCCCTCGTCGTCGTCGTCGTCGTCGTCGCGCCCTCTCGTCGTCGTCGTCGTCGTCGTCGGCGGCCCCCTCGTCGTCGTCGTCGTCGTCGTCGTCGTCGTCGTCGTCGGCGGCCCCCTCGTCGGCCCACTCGTCGTCGCTGTCGTCGCCGTGGGCGGCCCCCTCGTCGGCTCCCTCGTCGGCCTCCTCGTCGTCGTCGTCGTCGTCGTCGTCGTCGGCGGCCCCCTCGTCGTCCTCGTCGTCGTCGTCGTCGTCGTCGGCCCCCTCATCGTCGTCGTCGTCGTCGGCGGCGGCGGCGTCGTCGTCGTCGGCCGGACCCTCGTCGTCGGTCGTTTCATCTCGCCGTCGTCTGGCGGCGCGCCCTCGTCGTCGTCGTCGTCCGTTCGTCGTCGTCGCCGTCGGCGGCCCCCTCGTCGGCCGCCTCGTCGGCCCCCCTCGTCGTCGTACGTCGTCGTCGTCTTCGTTGATCGTCGTCGTCAGTCTGCGGCCCCTCCGTCGAGCCCCAGGCCGTCATCGCGTCGTGGTCGTCCGTCGTCGGTGGACGCCCTCGTCGGCCCCCGGTTGTCGGCGTCGTCGTGGGCGGTTCCCCCTCGTCGTCGTCGTCGTGTCGCGGCGGCCCCTTCGCGGCCCCCTCGACCTGTCGTCGTCGTCTCGTCGTCGTCGTCGTCGGCGCCCCCCATGTGTCGTCGTCGTCGTCGTCGTCGTCGTCGTCCGTCGTCGGTCGTCGTCGTCGTCGTTAGTCGTCGTGCGTCATCGTTGTCGTAAACGTGTGTCGTCGTCGTCGTCGTCGTGTCTTCAGGCGGCCCCCTCGTCGTCGTTCGTCGATCTCGTCGTCGGCCCCCAAGTCGGCCCCCTCGTAGTGTCGTCGTCGTCGTCGTCGGCGGACCCCTCGTCGTCGGTCGTCGTCGTCGTTCGTCGTCGTCGTCGGCGGCCCCCTCGTCGGCCCCCTCGTCGTCGTCGTCGTCGGCGGCCGCGGCCCCCTCGTCGTCGTCGTCGTCGGACCCCTCGACGGCCCCCTCGTCGGTCGTCGTCGTCATCGTCGTCGTCGGCGGCCCCCCCTCGTCGTCGTGCGTCGTCGTCGTCGTCGTCGTCGTCGTCGTCGTCGTCGTCGTCGTCGTCGTCGGCGGCCCCCTCGTCGGCCCACTCGTCGTCGTCGTCGTCGTCGTCGTCGTCGTCGTCGTCGTCGTCGTCGTCGTCAAGGGCGGCCCCCTCGTCGTCGTCGTCGTCGTCGGCCCCCTCGTCGGCCCCCTCGTCGTCGTCGTCGTTGTCGTCGGCGGCCCCTTCGTCGTCGTCGTCGTCGTCGTCGTCGTCGTCGTCGCGGGCGTCCCCCTCGTCGGCCCCCTCGTCATCGTCGTCGTCGTCGTCGTCGTCGTCGTCGGCGGCCCCTTCGTCGTCGCCTTCGGCCCCCTCGTCGGCCCCCTCTTCGTCGTCGTCGTCGTCGTCGTCGTCGTCGTCGTCGGCGGCCCCTCTCGTCGTCGTCGTCTCGTCGTTCGTAGTCGTCGTCGTCGTCGTCGTCGGCGGCCCCCTCGTCGTCGTCGTCGTCGGCGCGGCCCCTTCGTAGTCGACGTCGGGCCCCTCGTCGGCGGCCCCCTCGTCGTCGTCGTCGTCGTCGGCGGCCTCTCGTCGTCGTCGTCGTCGTCGTCATCGTCGTCGTCGTCGTCAGCGGCCCCCTCGTCGGCCCCCTCATCGTCGTCGTCGTTCGTCGGCGGCGGCCCCTCGTCGTCGTCGTCGCTCGCCGTCTTCGTCGTCGTCGTCCGTCGCCGTCGTTCGCCGTCGTCGTCGTCGGCCCCCTCGTCGTCGTCGTCGTCGTCGTCGTCAGCGGCGGCCCCCTCGTCGTCGTCGTCGTCGGCCCCCTCGTCGGCCCCTCGTCGGCCCCCTGGTTGTCGTCGTCGTCGGCGTCGTCGTCGTCGGCGGCCCCCTCGTCGCTGCCGTCGTCGTCGTCGGCGGCCCCCTCGTCGTCGTCGTCGTCGGCTCCCTCGTCGGCCCCTCGTCGTCGTCGTCGTCGTCGTCGTCGGCCCCCTCGTCGTCGTCGTCGTCGTCGTCGTCGTCGTCGTCGGCGGCCCCCTCGTCGTCGTCGTCGTCGTCGTCGTCGTCGTCGTCGTCGTCGGCGGCCCCCTCGTCGTCGGCCCCCTCGTCGTTGTCATCGTCGTCGTCGTCGTCGTCGGCCCCCTCGTCGTCGTCGTCGTCGTCGTCGTCGTCGTCGTCGTCGTCGTCGTCGTCGTCGCCACCTCGCGTGCGCGACGCAAGGACCCGTGCGGTTGGGACACTCGTCAAGGAGGCTTCTCAGAGATCCCAGGATCTGATGGTTTCAATCCGGAGTTTTGTCATCGTGTTCGGCTTCCGGGGCCCGTTCTTGGGCAAGGGGACCGTCAGACATGAATCCGGGACGAATAACAACTCCCAGGGAGTGGGTCGGGACCTCTGGGGCCGCGGATTGACAATGCCATACATCGGCGGATGTCTGGGCACAGACCCCAGAGGGTTCCTCTGCTGAAGGCGGCCGTGATGCGGCGACACGCAGGAGGAACCCCGGGTGAGAGTGACCCGTGGCTTCCCGGGGGCCGCGGGAAGAACCAATGACACAAGCGCGCAAGACGCATCGCCTTTCGGCGGTCGGGGGACCACTGTGGGCCCGCACCAGAGGACACTCCGGCGAGAGGTCACTCTTGCGTCTAGTCGAGTGATGCCCATGGCCAAGCCTCCCTTGGCCTTGTACCGGCTTCCAGGCCCTGGATGCTCTGTCCCCAGGGGTTCGCCATCCGACGCCCTCACCGCCTTCGCCCGCGCCTCCCTGCGGCCTCTCTTGCTGCGAAGGCGGCAGGCTGCATGGCACGGAGGTGGCTGGTCACTTCGAAGCCGCAGCCCCCAAGGCAGAGAGCCTCCTCAGAACCGACCGTCCCCCCCCCCGCGTCCCCTGAGATCCTTCAGCTCAACGATATGGCCCCTGAGCGTCTCCATGGCGACTGGGGAGGAGAGGATTACTAAGCTGATGGACTTCGGTACGCCAGGACACCGAAATTCTTCGGTTCAGTAGTCCTCGCCTCCCCAGTCGCCATGGAGACGCTCAAGGGCCAGATCGCTGAGCTGAAAGATCTCAAGGTGCGTACCCCTCCCGCCTCACCCATCCCTCGCGTGCGCGACACCAACAGTCGCTGTCGGGCGCGCCCGCTGCAGCCGCCCCCACCCTCCAATGCCGCGCGGCCTCCAGATTGACTGCCCCGGCGACAGCGAGCGATGACGACGAATCCGATAACAGCAACGACCACGACCACGACCACGGCCACGGCTACGATCTCGACCACGACCACGGCGGCGGCGACGGCGGCGGCAGCGGCCCGACACATCCGACGTCGTGCTGTTCCATTGCGTGGCTCCCGAGACCTCTCGGCAGGATGCGTGATCCGCTCTCGACCCCACCTGCTGCTGGGAGCGAGCCCGCGCGCTCTGAGCGAGCATCCCAGCGCGAAGGTCACCGGGAGCGAGCTGGCATTCTCGGAACGAGCTTCACGGCATCTACTTATCGGGCGAAGGTCACTGGAAACGAGCTGGCACGATCGGAGCGAGCGTCCAGCCAGTACCGATCACGGGCTAATCCCAGACTTCGGTTTTGGCGACTGCCCCCCTGCTTGTTTCACAGTGGGGACACTGTTGTAGCTCTTTTGGGGTGTCTTTGACGAAGCCGTGTCCAACCTCAGGTGGCACTGCTATGCAATACCGAACACTCTAGTTGGTCGCCAATTGCGGGCCTTTGCCTGGTGCAGCTCTGCACTATTTGCAGCATGCAGATTTGTCTCAGCGTGATCACCCTCGCAGGCAGGAGTCCAGGAAGGACATTGGCCTACCACGGCCACGCAACGAGCATACAACGGGCAAGCCTACGCAGGGAACGAAACCTGCAAGCGTGGCCATAATTCCTCCAGTTTAGCTCAAGCAGAGGCCCACCCGCCGAGGAGGAAGGGGGAACGGGAGTGGGAGAACGAGAGAGGAAGGTGACCAGTGGGCGGAAAAGGAAACTATTCGCGCGAGCGCAAACCCGTCACCCCGAGCAGTGCCGCGGGCGGTACCCGCACACGGGTGCCCCGCAGGAGCCCCGCGCGCCAGAGAGCAGTGCGGCCTCGGTGGACAGAGGGCTGGGCCGAGCAGCACAACGGTACAATCAGACTCCCACGAGCGCACGACCGCTGTCTGCGAATGAGAGCACGGCTCGAGCAGCCCGTGAATCGCATGGACCAGCCCACGATACTGTTATGTCGGGCGTGTCGCGTGTCCCCCTACAGAGGGATTTTCGACGAAGAATAAAAGATACCCACAAACAGATACCCACAAAATACCCCAAGGAGGTCAAAAAATAATCAAAAAATAATCCCCAGACTATTTTTGGAGTATTTTTAAACATATTTTTGAGTATTTATTATTTTTCTTCGAAAATCCCCCTGTAGGGGGACAGGCCCGACTTAAGAATACTGGCCTGCGCTCCGTCTGCCTGCCTGCCAGGCGCACGAAGACGGGAGCGACTGTCCAGCAAGAGGGGCCGCTGCTCAGGGCGCCGAGGGCCAAACGCGGCGATTGTGCCGGGGCACTCCGCAGCATCGCGGCCGCAGCCCTCAACCAATGGGCTACTCGAAAATTGATGGGCCTGTTTGCCACCACCACCACCACCAGAAGTTGGAGGGGGGAGGGAAGTGGAGGAAGAGGAGGAGGACGAGGAGGAGGAGGAGGAGGACCCCCTCACCCACCAACTTATGGTGGTGGTGGTGGTGGAGAACAGGCCCATCGAAAATAGCCCTGCTGAGCTCCGCCTCTGTGGACTCTCCCTCGGCGTGGTGGCCAGAAGCGCGGGTTCCCACCCCCCGGACGGGTCGGACTCCGGAGACGCCCGCGCGCCCACGGGGGAGTCGGGGAACAGCAGGAGCCCACGGAAGGCCGGGCGGAGCCCAAGCGGAGCAGGCTCGAACATCTCGCCCTCCTCGCCCCCCCTGGCGAGTCTGGAACGGGCCACGCGGGGGCGGGCCAAGAGAAGAGTCCTGGCCGTGGACGGTGCGAGCTCCTGTCCGATGGGCGGCACGCTGCTGGGTGCCTGCTCGCTCGCTACAGCACACGCCGGGATGAGAAAGGCCCGCGGCATGCAACATTCTGTAGGTATTACCATCTTCTCTTCCTCCTCCTCCTTCTGCTCCTCCTCCTCCTCCTCCTCCTCCTCCTCCTCCTCCTCCTCCCCTCCTCGGCACACCCGATGGTGCGTCTCCCGCACGCTGGGCTCCTGCTAGCGTATAACAGGGGATGCGTCGACCCCTATCCCAGGCTCCGTGAGGTTTTCGAGAGGATCAACAATTTGGGGCCCAACCCTGGGATATACGAGGGGGGGGCGTCCATCCTCGACAGTGCGTCCGAATAGCCCCCTCGGGATGTATCCCAAGATTCCTCCCCTTTTCTGAGCGACCAAACTTTTCTGGCGGAAGTCGGGGATTGGGGGAGAGAAATCGCCTGCGAGCGTAAACCGCCAGGCCTCCAAAGGCTTCTGGGCCGTCCTGGGCGGTGAGCCGTCAAGAGACGATCATGGGCTGCGATGCTTCTCCGCTGCTACTGCCGTGCGTGAACACATGGACTCGTGTTGGCACGAAAGGGATCCAATAGAAGACCGAGAGAGCATGGCCGACTGGGCGGCAGAGAGAGATGAACGTGTTCACAACTGGTGTGAAGAGGATCGTTGTCCAGCGTATCTGGTAATCTGGCCGATGCCGCCAGAAGCAATAATTGATGACAAGGAGCTGAAGCACGCTCCCAACATAATACACGGTCCACGCCCTCAAAACAAACGGAAACCACACAAGCAACCCTTGATGGGAGAGCGCCGTCACGATCGCCCATGGAGTGGCGAGCAATGAGATAAGGGTGGCAATCGGTGCCTGAACTGTCATGATCCGAAACCAAATGTTACTCCATAGGCTGCCTGCTCGGAAAGTGAAGAGCAGCAAAAATGTCCAAGTCATACGGCGCAATTGCGTCACCATCCACCTTTGTGCTCTTTGCTTGAACAACGAGGTGGCTCCGTACCCTTGCTCCCGAGAACTCGACGCGCATGGGGTGAAGAACACGGGAGGGGCAAACGTCACGACGTTTGAGCGCATGTCCCTCTTGATCTTCCAATTGTTAGCAAGGAGCAGGGTTCCGAGGAATGCGTCCTCTCCGAATGGGAGGAACACGTGATCTGGAAATACTTTCATGAATGCGCTGCGCCGGACCAGACCGACGATGCCTGGCGCCCACAATGATGTGCCCGACGTGACATTCGCAAAGTCCGCCACCGCGCGTTCAGCGGTTGGTGCGTCCTGGACCCTGGATTCTTTCAGAGTTCCGCTCCCACATAGCAACTACGAGGGCCCTCGACTCATTGGGCCCAGAATGAATTGAATTTGGTTTACGAAGTCCCTGCGCGTTTTGCTTGGCATCAAGCAAGTCCTGGAACCAACCGTATGGGCAATGCGACCGAGCGAACGGGTTTGCTTATTATCAAAAAAACAATATTGCATCCACCAGGGGCTGATTCCGACCAGCCCGCTGTTCTACACAAGCCGAACTCGACCCAATGAGTTACCCAGCATCGGAACGTATTGCGGACGAGATCTATGAAAATACAAGAGAATCGCGCTGCTGCATCGGAAACCGTGCGATTGCAGCAGAACTCGTCTGTGCGGAAATGAAGCAACACCCGTAAACAAATCGAACCAGCCCTCTGGGCGCACGTGGTTGATCAAGTTCGGTGTTTCCAACCTCGATGTCCCCCTTGGGGGAATGGATTACATCCGGCCCCAAAGCCCCCCAAGAGAGCCCCAAGAGGGGCCCAAGGAAACGCCAAAGGCCTACAACATTGCCCAACAACGCAGTGCAGTCCCAAATGCACCCACACAAACCACAAGAGAACCCCAAAATGACCCCAACGGATTTCCAAGCGGCTCCCAGGACAAAGAACCCGCGAAGGCCTTGATGGTTGACTCGACGTCATCGTCGTCGTCGTCGTCGTCGTCGTCCGCGTCGTCGTCATCGTCATCGGCGTCGGGGTCAGGCTCGGCGTCGGCGTGGGCGTCGCTGTCTCCTTCTTTCTCCCGTATCCATTTGTTGTTCCTCCTCCTTCCCCTCCCACCTCCTCTCCCTCTCCTCCTCTCCTCCTCCGTCCCTCTCCTCCTCCTCCTCCTCCTCCTCCTCCTCTTCCTCCTCCTCCTCCTCCTCCTCCTCCTCATCCTCCGTTTCGATCTCCTCCAATATATAATTTTTCAAAAAGGTACCGGTTGTCTCCATTTAGTTACACTGTATGCTGCTGCGTGTCCTTGATCAGGGAAGCTCGCCCAGCGATTGCCTCTGTTATGGGCTGGTCGGGATACGCGAAACATCTAGAATCGCTTTGCACCCACATGTTTCGTGGAGTTATGGTTTTCTTCCCTGCCGCGGCGCACCCGCGTCTCCTCACCTCCCCTCCTCCCTCTTCTTCCTCTCCTCACCCGCGCTCAACACATGCACGGCAAGTACATGACACACGCGTCTACATACGGCCGCACGCATGCACACAACACACACACACACACCATACAACGCTAGCGCGCGCCTGGCGTGTTCACTGCATCACACATCCACGACGTGTGCGCCACATAGTGGGCACCCACATGAGACACGCCCCGATATGGCCGCTATGCACGACAGTCGTCCAGGCATAGCAGGCGTGGCACTTCCTCGACACCAGAGGGGGTGCGCTGAGGGTGGGGGCCCTATGCGTTGCAGGCTCCCACGGCGTGGCAGGCGTGGCACTTCCTCGACGCCGCAAGGGGGTGCGCTGGGGGTGGGGGCCCTATGCGTTGCAGGCGCCCACGGCGTGGCAGGCGTTTCATTCCTTCGACGCCACACGGGGTGCGCTGGAGGTGGGGGCCCTATGCGCTGCAGGCCCCCAAGGCGTGGCAGGCGTGGCATTTCTTGGGCGCCACAGGGGGTGCGCTGGGGGTGGGGGCCCTATGCGCTGCAGGCTCCCAGGGCGTGGCAAGCGTGGCATTTCCTCGACGCCACAGGGGGTGCGCTGAGGGTGGGGGCCCTATGCGCTGCAGGCTCCCAGGCGTGGCATTTCCACGGGGGTGCGCTGGGGGTGGGGCCCTATGCGCTGTACGCTCCCAGGGCGTGGCAGGCGTGGCATTTCCTCGACGCCACAGGGGGTGCGCTGGGGGTGGGGGCCCTATGCGCTGTGGGCTCCCGGGGCGTGGCAGGCGTGGCATTTCCTCGACGCCACAGGGGGTGCGCTGGGGGTGGGGGCCCTATGCGTTGTAGGCTCCCAGGGCGTGGCAGGCGTGGCATTTCCTCGACGCACAGGGGGTGCGCTGGGGGTGGGGGCCCTATGCGTTGATGGCTCCCCCTGTGCGTGGCAGGCGTGGCATTCCTTCGACGCCACAGGGGGTACGCTGGGGGGTGGGAGCTCGTATCTTGTCAAGAACTGTAAACACCTTGGCTCAAGCCGGCTCGGCGCGCCTGCGCTCTCACGCAGGCGCGCTCCTGTAGTCCTACCTCAGAGCACCGCCCGACCTTCGCGGCAGCCATGCCTCCCAAAATCGCCGTGGACGCGCTGCCACCTCCATGTTTGGCGATGAAGACTGCAATGGTTCAGATGGGCGGCGAGGTTAGCGTGGAGACCTCCCGCAGATGCGCCAGAGGAGTGGTGCAGTCCGCTTTGAATGCGTACCGCCGCCAGCTTCACAATTGGTGGCCCGATACGCTCTACGCGAGGTACTCGGAGATGAACGACGACGGCAAGAGGCAGTGCTTGGTGGCGTACCTTCAGAACCCTGCGTCGGGCGCAGCAGGCGTGGCGTTTTCTCGACACCACAAGGGGTGCGCACGGGGTGGTCCCTGAGCGCGGCCGCTATCCGTGACGGTCGTCCTTGCGGTATCGGCGGGGCAACGGCCACCAACATCATTCTCCCATGCTTCACTTCAGCTATCTTTACCCCAGCCATGATATAAGTATGTGGGGTTCCTCGGTGGCGTAATGGGCTGGTCGGGATACGCGAAACATCTAGAATCGCTTGGCATTGCTTGGGATTGCTTGGCATTTCGTTGTGTTGCCTGGCGTCGATTGGCATTGCTCGGCGTTGCGTTTCGTTGCGTGGCACTGCTTGGGATTACTTGGCGCTGCTCGGCATTTGTCAAGAAAACACGAACAGAACAATACCAAAGTATCCCAGGGGATGTAACAGAAGCGCTAAGTGAAACACGTTCGTCGTAAAAACATATTCCATTTTTTTCGCCGCACGCTCGAAAACTATACTAAACCGCACGTGCGCGGCCAGCTGCGTTGCCTCTCCGGCCATGCTCCGATGCTTGAGTTCGATTGCGGTAACTTGTCCCATGTGGCGTTTGGTTGGACGCGTGCCCGAACGATGTTCTGCCATATCAATTGTTCACGCCTCGCGCATCCCCACCAGCCCATCCAAAATCAATCGCCAGGCGAGCTCCACTGACCAGGGATGCGCAGCAACATGCAGTCACGCTCTGGGATCCTCTCGGAAGCATTTTGGGGCGACGTGGCCCTCTCGAGGCAACTTTTGCAAGCCGTGTGGGCCCTCTCGGGGCCCTCCTGGGGCCGTCTCGGGCGCTCTCTCGGGGCGTCCTGGGGGTGCCTGCCGGCACACCTGGAGGTCATCGATCAGCTTGGAGGTCATCGATCAAAGAGGGGGGGGAGGAGGAGGAGGAGGAGGAGGAGGAGGAGGGAGGAGAGGAGGAGGAGGAGGAGGAGGAGGAGAGGAGGAGGGGAGAGGAGGAGGAGAGGAGGAGGAGGAGGAGGAGGAGGAGGAGGAGGAGGAAAAGGAGGAGGAGGAGGGAGGGAGGAGGAGGAGGAGGAGGAGGAGGAGGGGGAGGAGGAGGGGGAAGCGGAGGAGGGGGAGGAGGAGGAGGAGGAGAGGGAGGAGGGGAGGGGGGAGGAGGAGGAGGAGGCGGAGGAGGAGGGGAGGAGGAGGAGAGGGGAGGAGGAGGGAGGAGGGAGGAGGAGGAGGACGGGGGGGGGGGGGGGGGGGCAATTGCGCTCCGCCCCTCGGAGGCAGAAGAAGGGCCCCTCGGGGCCCTATTGAAGAGCACTTGGGGCGCTCTTCGGCGAGATCGGGGCCGCACTGCGCGCCTCCAGGGTCTCGCTCGGGCCATCCCGAAGGCATCCCGAAGCTCTATACAGACCATTAGAAGCAAAAGGCGAACATTAAACAAATCGTATGTTTTCATGTTGCGTTTGAACGATGATGGCCTCTTGGGGGCGTCCCATGGGAGGCCCCGCGGCCACTCGGAACGGCTTTCGGGCGGCATCGGAGGCATGCTGGAAGCTAGATTGGACCACGATAAGATGCACTGCGCGATGTTGGAGGCCATCCCCGGGCCCTCGTAAAGCCGTCTTCGGACCATCTTGGACCCTCCAACGACCCGCGGAACGCTCCCTCCAGACTCGGGGAGACAGGGTAGCAGGAGAGTTAAAACCTTCCCCCCAAGAGAAGGAAACGGTTGGAAGCACGACGAACTCGCTCAACCACCTGGGCCCCGAAAGGCTTGTGCGACGGCGTCCTATGTTTCTCGTCGTTTGCCTCCTTCCTCCTCTCACCCTGCTTTTGTTTTCGGAACCACGATGCCGCCAAACTCGCCCCCTGGCGTCGGGGAGAAAAGTTGCCGCGCGCGCGTGGCATCGGACGCATGAGGCCGCCTCGCGCGCCCTCGTCTCTGCTTTTCCTTTCTTGTTTTGTTCCGCCCGCGTTGTCCTCCCCGTCTTGAGCATCGTTCATCCGACCCCCATCCCCAGCGGCAAGGCCTGGGCCCCGCTGGCCGATTTACCCCCATCCATCCCCAGCTGGGGTGGTGATTTGGTTGGGGGTCTCGAAGGGGATGAGGATGGGGATGGGGATCGGTTGAACGATGCTGACGTCTATCTCCTGGGGTCGGACAGCCGGGGCGCGCCGACGAGTCGGCGGAATCTGCCCAGGCCCCATGCCGCGCCAGCGGCCTGCCGGTGGGCCCTGGGCGGGCGGGGCCTGGCGGGCTGCGTTCGGGGGCCAGCTTGCTCCCCGGGCTCGGGAACGCCCCCGCGAGTCGGCGCCGGGGCCGCTGCGGCGCGAAGACCTGGCCGTTGCGCTGTTGGAAAACCGCGCGAAGACCTGCGTCGAAAATTACGTGAAGCTTGTGGGCATCAACGGCTGGAAGAGAGGAGTCTTCGTTGTTCAATGCACTTTAAAAAATCTGGCCCCTGTTCGAGCGCGGCGGGCCCTGCATTTCTGTCAGAGAAAATCCCCCCATGTTGCAACCCGCTGCGGGCGTCGTTTTTGTCCACCCACGGCGGGTGGAATTTGTCAGCTCACACTGGGCTCATATTACCAGCTGACTGCGGGGGCCTCTAAGGCCCGATCCTCGAGAGCTCAGAGAGGCAGACAGCACGCGAATAGGACGCCTGCACCGGGTCATCGGGACAGGCACTGGACGTTCGCCAGGCGCGCGCGGAGTGCCTTGACGGGAGGCCGGGTCTGGGCAAATGCGCCGACCTGTCGGCCCACTCTGGCTTCCCAGCACCAGGATTTAAAAGGGGGGGCGACCGGGGTGGAAAATCAGAAACGAACGAGCGTGGACGAAGGCTTGCGGCATGGCACCCTGCCTCCGACGCCGCAGGCGCAGGCAGCAACTCCCGCGCCCCAACGCCAAGAGCGTTCTGGTATGAGCGCCTGACTAGGCTGGACTATGAACCCGGGAAGGAGCGCCAAGACTGAGGAGAAGGAATGAGAAAAGGTCATCACATGAATCACCAGCAACCCAGACTTTCGATATTGGAAAATCCTGAAACCTCCTGAAATTTGTTCAGACACTTATCAGGCGCCCATCTCTCAAAGTTCTCAAGAGCCAATCGACGCCCTTGACAAAACTCTCAGAGGGTCCCCAGAAACTTGCGACGACCTTTCCTCAAGTCTCCTCGGAACCTCCCAAAGCCTTTCGCAAACCCCTCAGAAGGCTGTATCAGAGAGGCCAGACCAGGCCACAAAAAAGCTTAGAGAAGTTCCAATCGGAGGCTGCAAGGGTGGCCTGTCTTGGTTGTAGAATGCAAGCTAGCATCGTTTTAACATGCATTTTATGCATTGGGATATAACGTCTTCTGCTCCTGAATTACCTCTCCCGAGTGGAAATTACCCCTTCCGTATTTACCTCCCTGAGACAACATCACCGTTCTGTGTTCTCAAGGAAATGCTCTTGCTGTGTTTACCCCATTCCCCCCGCCCCCCCCCCCCCCACAGACGCACACACGCACACACACACACACACACACACACACACCAACACACACCAACACACACGTACACGCACGTGCATGCACGCACGCACGCACGCACGCACGAACGCACGCACGCACGCACGCACTGCGCGAGAACTTCCTCCGCCCTCTCTACCTCTCCCCAGCCCATCCCCAGGCATCCTCCGGAGCGCGTGGCGGCAGACTCGCGCGGCAGCGCAACCTGATAAGACATGTGGAAATTCAATCGGAAAATTAAGCCGATGCACGACGTCAGAAGGTTTTCTTCACGAGGGAAGAAGGGGTAAGTAACCTCTGCAACGGACGCATCTTCAAACCACTTCTCGTCGAAGACCATATCTTCAGGCAGCACCGTGTCATCATCCACGTGCAAGATGTACTCAACGTGCTGAGGCAACTGCAGCATGCCGTTGTAGAGAGCCAAAGTCTTGAGGCCCCTCTGAATGAAAAGGTACGTGATGTCCGGGTCAACCGCCTTCACGACTGCTCTGGTCTCGTCGGGGGGGTGGACGGAGTTTGCATCCGCCACCGTGCCTACTGGCATGTTGAGGCGTGGTTAAAAAAACAGTGCTGTCTGGCAGGGCAATCTTCAAACGGCCCCTCCTCCTCTTTGATAACACCACCCAACTGCATGCTTCGTCTCCCCCGCCCCCGCCCCTCCCCGGGCTCTCTTAGCGGCGCGATGCCTCCCTGGGGCGTTCCAAGGCTAAGGCTTCCAACGGAGGCCACCGAGGATGCCGAGATGGCACCACATTGCCTCAAGAGGCACACAACAGTCCCCACTGAGGCCTTAAAAGGCGCAGAAGCAGGTTTCAAGAAGCTTCCAAGACAGAACGAGAAGACCGAGAGGTCATCCAAGATTGACAGAATCGTTAGAAAATCTGTCGACGGTTGGAGTCAGACTTTTGTCCGGGTTCCCAGACCTCTCGGCTGCATATCCGTCACCGTGTCTGCACGGAGTGGGCGCGTCAGAGTGCTATTCTGTTGTCTGGTGATGTGTCTTAATGTTTTGGGAGGCCGAACCTCCCCCGCATGGCAGCGCGCACCCGTAAAAAAAAGCCTCCCCCCGAGATGCCTCTCTGGCGTTGTTATCTGCCTCCAGATGGCCAGGATGGCCTCCAAGACGGCTTCCAGGATAACCAAGATGACACCAAGACGACCGACGATGGCCCAAGACCGCCCAAGAGGCTCCCAACACGGCCTCAGGGCAGCCCCAGAGGCCTCCAAGACGGCCCAGGAGGGCTCCATGAAGCCCTCAGGCAAACACAACTGATTTGCCTTAGGTGGTTGACGGTGATTGCGGTTCTCGCCGGTTCTGGTTTGCGACAGCCCAAGATGGCCCAAGATGCCTCCGATATACCTCCAAGACAGCCCAAGAGGCCCCCAAGAAGGCACCAAGTCGGTCCAAGAGGCCCCCAAGAAGCCCCCAAGAGGCCCGCAAGCGGCCTCCAAGAGGCCCCATAGAGGCCCTAAGAGGCACACAAGACGCTCCGAGAGGCTCTGAAGACCGCCACGAGGCCCCCACGGCGCCTCAAGAGGTCTCCAAGAGTGTCCCAAAGCGCCCCAAGAGGCCCCCAAGAACCGCCAGAAGGCCACCGCGACGCCACAAGAGGCCTCAAACAAGAAAAAACCTAGAGACATTCCGACAGAGTCCGAGAAGCATCCAAGAAGAGCCTGGCCCACGGAAGCTCTCCGAGCTCTCCTCATGATGCCACGGTCCCCCGAGAAGGGCAGCTCCCCTGGGCATCTCTCCTGGAGGGGATGGTGGGGATAAGCGAAGCGTTAAGAATTGAAAATCCTTCGTGCTACGCTGTTGCACAGGCACGGTGGCGGGGTTTGCCGCAGACAGCTGGATCTGCCGCCCCCCCTTGAGGGGCCATCGGGCTCCGCGGCCAAGTCGTGCTGCTCCCTGCTGCAGTTCCCGTTTCCGGTTTCCGATGGTCACAACTCTGTGTCCTGCTCCCTGCTGTGAACTGATGAGGTCCGCGCGCGGGAGGGGAGCCGAAAAAAGCCCTGGTCACCTTCACCTGGGGGGTTCTCAGAATGGCTTGGGGCTCCTGGGGCAGTGATATACGTTTACATATGTGTATAATTTTGTATACACAAACATGTGTATACATATATACACATACATGAATACATCAAAAAGATTCGCGCCCCCGAAGCCATAACCCTTCGTATATGAATCCGTGTTCGCGCCCCCGAAGCAACAATGCCTCGTAAATTACGCAATAGGCGCGTCGCCGAGGCTATAAACCCTCGAAAATTACGTTGTGTTCCCGCTCCCGAGACCTTCGCTTCTCACAACGTAGCTCTTGCAGACCCCATTCTCCGAGAGAGGGGGCTGGCGGCAGGGAGCGAAGCCCTTACCGATAATTCAATCAGGTCTGAAGGGGGCAGAGGAGGGCCAAAAGCCCAATGACGATCCCAAGAAACCTCCCAGAGGGACCAGGACCCAGATGGCCCCACGACGGACCAAGAGAGATCCAGGACAGCCAAAGGGGCCTCAAGAGGGCTCAAGAAGGCCCCCGAAGCAGTCTCACCACCCAAGACGGCCCAAGACGACACCCAGACGCCCCAAGAGGGCCCATAGACAGGCGATAAGGCTCCAAGAGGGCCCCAAGACGTCCCCGAAGGAGCCCAAGACAGGCCCCATGAGAGGCCATCAAGGAATAGAGAAGCGAATTGCTACATGTTTCGGCCTTCTGGGCGGCGCTCGAAGCGCCGCTACAAGGAGTGCTGCGCTGGCACGTGACTGGCCGCAGGCAGATGGATTGTCTGCCACGACGATATTCTGGGGAGGCAAATAGCGCATGATGGACCGACAAGTGTTGGCGATCTCAGCTTCAGACTGGTGGCAAGGAATAATGGCGCCAATGCGGCCAAGAAAACTTGGGTCATTGACCCACTTAGTGGGCTTCTCCGGCAGAGGTACGCATGCCAAGAAGACCAATCTCTTCAAGAAAACGAAAACCCATACAACAACGGCGACCCCGAATCCATAGCCGTGCTCCCACCACCCAGTACCTGAAGCTGCGCGACACATCTTCTGCATTAGTTTCTCACTGTGGCTGCTGCACCGGTGCTCCGAGCTGTTCTGCCCGAACAAGGTGGAGACAATGATCCTATCATCGTGGCACACGACGAGGCTCATGTCCCATCCCGCCGCTTCGGCCGCAACACAGCACGAGTGGCTGAAGCAGGAGAAAGGGTGTGCAAATGGCTGGAGGTGGGAAGTGGCCATCAACACCATGGCTACAAAGCAAAACCAAGCGATCGCCCGAGGCACGGGGCTCACAGACTGGTCGAAGAGATAGTAGCTCCTGAACACTCGCTGCAGGCAGTTGACCGGCTCACCCTGGTAAAGAAGACTGGATGCTGCAGAACATCCCTCTGAGCTCGAATCTGAATCACTGTCGCTGTCGGCCGGAACCCCCAGGCAAAAGTTGGCGACCATGTGCACCTTGATTGCTGCCCATGTCGAGAACACCAGCAACACGGCAGCACCAGAGAACGGGGCAGGACTGCACTGAAAGACAACCCAGGCACCGAACACGGCAGACGCTCCGAGCACGGACCACTGGCGTCCGGGCAGTGCACTGTTGACCTGCTTTGCCGTTGCGGACTGCGACTGCAGCAACGACATGCGGACAATCTTCTCTCCATTGGACGTCATCGCATCGTGGCTGCGCTGAGCCTGACTCTGCTGCTCTTGGACTGGCCCTGCAAGTTGAGCTCGTGTGACCGTCCACCGCTTGATCCAAAACTGGCATGGAACATGTTATTTGTGGGGATGCCCCCGGGGGCATGTGGGGGCCCTGATTCGACCCTCCTGCAGTCATCTCAGGGCATATTGAATCCTTGGGGCTGAAAATCTTAGTTGGCCTCTTCCTCGGAACATAAGGTTATGGGAGACATCTTCTAGCACTCTTAGGAGCTCGTTTGGGATATTCCTGGATCCTCTTGGTGTCCTTCTGTGCCCCTCTCGGGGCCCTGTTGGGCCGTCGTCGGGCAGTCTTGAGACATCAGACGTTCATCGGAAGCTGAAAGGGCGAAAAGGCAAAAGTTGAAAGAAGCCATTTCAGCAGTACCTCATGTTGAACTCTCGGGGGCATCCATGAAAAACACTGTGCCTCGAAGCCACCTCCGAGCCGTCTTTGGACAGTCAGACCGTATGAAAAGGACGCCCGATAAGGATGCAAGGGCCTTAGAAGGCCATGTCGACACTTTGCGAGCGGAGCGCGGCCAGCGAACGCGGCCAAGGATGGGCCGAGGGGAAGGATGCGAGGGTAACAATGGAAAGACGCTCATCCTTACTATGCGGGTCGACTGTATGGCAGCTGTGCTGAAGACTACCTTGGGTTTGCGTGCTCTCGAACGCTACCTTGAAGGCCCGTCTCGCCTTGGCCCACCTCGTCGAGCCTCACCCGGTTCCAAGACACGACCGCGTGCACCTTGGCCTCACGAATTCTGGCGCTGGAGGGGGAGGGGGCGCCAGACTTGGAAGAAGTCCCCCCCTGATGAACCAATACACGTCCAACATGGCCCTGAGTAGCCAGATGCTGCCTCCAAGATGGCCAAGACGGCCTCATCTGGACCAAGATCATCTCCAGCATGCCCCGTGAACTCTAAGGTCGCCCTTAAACAACTCAAGTTGGCTAATTACGCAGCCGTCCAAGGATACCCCTCAGACCAACTAAACAGGAAAGCGAAATGTCCTTGCTGCCTTCCGCTGATTCGCTTCCGATAGGGCTTAATTGGAGGGTGGCCTTGATGGGGGGCCTTCAATGGAGACCTTTCTTCTTGAGTCGATGGACCCTGGATCGGCCCTGGGGGGCCACGAACATCTCCGGGGCGGCCCCAACAGAGCCCCAAAATGGCCACAGAGGCCCCAAAAAACGCCCAAATAGAGCCCCAGCATGCCCTCGGCAAACATTCAAGAATGTCCACGTTGGCCACCTCCCGCAACACTTTTACGGTCAACCCCTGGATGTCTACTCCCGAGCTCCTTGTCGCCGTCTTCCTCGTCCATCCTCCGTGTCGTCGTCGTCGTCCTCCTCCTCCTCCTCCTCCCTCCTCCACCAGTCTCTCCTGCTCCTCCTGCTCCTCCTGCTCCTCCTTCTCCTCCTCCTCCTCATCCTCCTCCTCAAACTCTGCCTCCTCCTCCTCAAACTCCTCCTCCACTACTGCTCCTCCTCCTCCTCCTCCTCCTCCTCCTCCTCCTCCTCCTCCTCCTCCTCCTCCTCCTCCTCCTCCTCACCCTCCTCACCCATTCCCACCGCTTTCTCTCCCCGCGATGTCACCATTTGCTCGGTCCGCCGCCACGCGAAGCACCGAAGTCAACCGCACAGGTCTTATCGGAGCTGCCCACTCCTCCCCGTCCTCCCCATCCTCACTCTCGTCCTCCTCCTTTGGCATGATGCAGGACTGTCAGGGCGCACCAGTCACGTTGGTTCGCGGCGTTGAAGTCTCAGGAATAGGGTTCCGACACGATTCGGGATCGTCAGGACGCATCAGTGAAGTCTGCTCGCGGCGATGCAGTCCCAAGGACGGTGTCTTGGCACGGTTCAGGGTCTTCAAACGGCTGCCTTCCAATGGTGCGCTTCCCGCAGTGAGAGTAAATGCTTGCAGGGACCTAGTGAGAAGGAACTTGGAGGGACGGTTTACTGCAACAGCGTTGATGAGTCTTGGGCTTGCACTGGTCTCCCTCCTCCTCGTCCTCCTCCTCCTCCTCCTCCTCTTCCTCGAGCTCCTCCTCCTCATTCTCATCCTCCTCCACCTCCTCTTCCTCCATCCTCACCTGCAGCCCCACCGCCCAGACCCCAGGCCCTCGCCATGAACGCATACTCCGAGTTTCTTAATCAGCGTCGGGGGTGCGTCACCCCCGCCGACAGCCCCACATCGACCCCCGTCGCGGGCAGCCACCGCGCGCCGAAGGCGCTCCGACCTCCGTCGCGGAGCGACGACGAGGCGAGGTAGACCCCCGTCGGGGGGGGTCCCTCCCCCCACGCTTATCAAGAAGCCCAGAGTAGGCTGAACTTCTGCCGCTGGTCCTCCAACTCTGCCCCGAACCCTCACTGGACGTCCCTCATACTACTATCGGGCCCTAGCCAGAGCCCAGCAATCGCGCCAGGCCAACAAACTTTCTGCTTGACAACTGAATGTCGTGTCCTGGAGCTCATCTTCTTCCTCCTCCTCCTCCTCCTGCTCGTCATGATCATGATCATGATCATGATCATGATCATCATCATCATCATCATCATCATCATCATCATCATCATCATCATCATCATCATCATCATCATCATCATCATCATCATCA